GATCAAGTATATGTTACAAGATTTAATTGAGCAAATTAAGTAAGACTGACCTGGTTTATTCACAAATATTTTAACTATATTCTTAATAACTTTTACTAGAGAACGAAGAGTAAATATTACATGAATTTGTGGCATTTAAAAGTACAGTACTTACCAAATGTTAGTTCAAATCGTTTACAGGATTTTCTCAAGTAAATCTTACAAGTYATTTTTACAGTGCAAGTACAGAGTGACCAGTCTGGCTTTAATGAAGTCTCAGAGAGCCTTGCTGCTGCTCAGTATGAATCTGTTTCTCTTTGTAACACCRGCATGTGAGCAGATGAAAAGACTGCCCGTGGTTTTGTTGAGCACGTGAACACGGTATTACAGTGGAAATGCTGCAAGGTGCTTTCAAAATATAATAAATAGTAAATACTGTTGATGTTCCTTGGAAAACAGTCCAAGAGCTTCCACCACGGACTGAAGAATTTGTTTTTAAAAGTAAGTTTAGCAATTTAGCTGATGAAATTTATGCTGCAATAAGGTGTTAAATAAAAAAAGGCAACTACAAGTGGTGATACTGGAGCTAAACCCAAATTATTAATGATTTTTTACTTATTTACGTGTAACGTTTTAACTGCGTTTAACTTTTTACTTCCAGTAAAAAGACATGTAGATACACGTCCCAATGCATTTTAAGTCTGATATGAAACTGATCTGTAAAGGGGTAGGGCATGGTCACACAAACTATGTAAAGCCAACATCAAGTGAAGGCTAGACCATCTCATTTCACAACAGTTTTAAGCAGCCTACCCGCCCCGGGGACGACGTGGCCCAGCTGGGCTACGCACTCATGAGAACCCAGGCCAGGAATTGAGACAAAGCCATTTTATTTCATCCTTTCATTTACAGATGTCTGATCGATCATTTCAGTTGGTGGTTCAGCAATGTTGTGGAAATATTTATTTAACGAAGACAGAAATACATGGTCCAAAAATAAAAAAGTACTCTGTTAAATGATCAGTTGAGTTTTATTTGCAACAACAGGAACGTTTCTTCTTCCTCTCTGAGGCAGTTGAGGCCTCATATATACTGTTTAACAAACATCATTATGTCATCTTAATAAAATAAGATTTCATCCTAATGAAATGCTGGGTCAATGGAAAACACAAAGAAAAACCCAAGTGATATCTAAGAATGACTAGTTAGCAAATCTTGTTCTGACTTTTATAATAAAATTTCCCATTTTCTAGTTCTGCCTGCTCTGACTTCTGTTCAGAAGAGCTCTTTATGTTAATGAGCTCTGTTGGTAACGCCCTCCAAGAATCTGTTGACATTAACTCCGCCCTCCAAAGCCAGTGTTTACGTTAGCATGGCTAATAATAGCAGAAGCTCCGTTGTACAACCATAT